AACCAACACCCACGGCCTAAACAAACCAAGACCAACACTACTGGCGATGGCGCACAGCTCATCACATCACAGAGCAAAATGAACCAACACCCACGACCTAAACAAACCAACACCAACACCACTGGGGATGGCACACAGCTCATTATATCACAGAGGCACAGCGCCTGCCTGCGATTCCTCGTGTGGCTTTGGCTGGGCCCTCCAGGCTCAGGTCCAATCTCCTACTGGGTCCCTGCGGGCTCCCCAGGAGAGCAGCCTGGTGCTTCCTCTAGGAAGCCTCCAGCGGTGAGAGCCCTTGACCACCCTACCTCTCTTTAGGGACCCAGAGACCAGGAGGAGGCCCTGGCAGAAATCCTCCCTCATTCACTTGATTTCCTTCTGACTGAGGCTGGCTTATACCTCCCATACATTAAATCTCTCTACAACAGTGCTCCCATCGGTAAAACCCTACTTATAAAAAGCTCAAAAGGGCATATGTGCAAACATCAGTGTGTGCTCATGTACTTGTGTGCCTGTGTGTGCCTGTGTGTGAGCATGTGCATTAGGTGAGGGGCATGTGGTGGTGATAGCCTCAGGTGTCACCTCTGTGGGTGCTCTGTTATCAGAGCTGACGCCAGTAAAATGAGAGTAAATTCAAGCCTGGAGGTATATTTTAGTAAGCCCCTTACCTCCAGGTTTACTCACGGTGGATAATCAGGGCTTTACATACAACCTGGAAAGCAGTTAGTAGAGGTTGGGTATGAAAAGGACCTATGTGTAGACATTGGCCGCAAATCTTCCAGTGTGGATTCTATCAGTGTTCTGTGTCAGAATGCACATTTGCCAAAATCCAAAGAATCAAATTAGGACTCGCCCCAAGAACAATAACTCTATTCCCTGGAACAAATGTACTGTTTCTGGTTAGGATACATGAGTGTTAAATTTTATGCCTTCACTTTAGTGTGGTCAAGCTACAGATGTGAAAACAGTGGAATTGGCTGTCATTGTACATGTCAGTCCTCAAAGATAACGTTACAGTGATACGAAATTTGGAGTTTGTTTCCTTAGCTTTCAGAAAAGGAAAATTTAAAGGAAAATATATTGTGCCTTTTAAAAATAGAGACACATACGATACATATGCACATATGCAGTCATATGAACAGTGTATGTGAGTTTGCTGGTGTGATTGTTTTAACCTCTCTATATTAATTTCTCCCAAATATAAAATATTTATAATTTAATCTTCATTTATAAATGATATAGTTATTATTGAAAACTGTAGCTTCCAAAGCTGATATTTTAAAAAGAAATGATTTTTGCTAACTTATTTTCAAGTCCGAGTTCCATACTTTTCCCCTAAATGAGTGTAGGAATGCCTAGGCCATCTGTTTCACCCACACACAGCATGCAAGACTAACTGAAATGGCAAGAGACAACAAAGAAGGACCTAGTGGTCCCACCTCAGTCCTCCCAGCCCCACATGGTGACCCCACTCTGTGCTACCCTGCTCTCCCTCCAGACAGGCAGCCTTGCAGCTCTGTCTTGTTCACTGCCATCTCTTCAGTGTCTGGCCCCTGTGGGCTCATGATAAACCCTCAGTGAGTGATCGAGAGAGGTGGCCCCGATCCTGACATCTGCCTCACACAGGAGCCCAGGCTGCGGGGAGGCCTTGGCCACCATCATTGAGTCAGGGACTGTTGGTCCCATCCCTTCTCCTGTCCTGGCCAGCGACTCTCAGCCCCATCACTCCATTAAACCACTCTGGTGACCTTACTCTAACTTTTTACTAAGGAGGCCAAACTTTTTACAAATCACATTGAATAGGTGAGGTCTTTCGCACCACGCCTGTCTTACAGACGGGAATATGAACATATCACAACGTGTTGGTATTAGAGCAGTGCCCATACCCCAGATTGGTCCTGACATTTATTGCTTCACAACAAACCATCTCAAAGCTTAGTGGCTTACACACTTATTCTGCCCACAGACCTGCAGTTTGGACAGGGCTCTGCCAGGACAGCACATCTCTGCTCCACTGAGCATCAGCTGCTGCCCCAACGGCTGGGCTGGAGTCACAGAAGTCCCCTTCATCCCAGCCGGCCACTGTGCTCCTGTCAGCTGGGACCTTCCCAGGATTTAGCCAGATATCCACACAGTCTGGACTCCCTCACAGCATGTGTCTGGGTCCCACGAGAGGCAGGCAGAAGCTGGGCACTTTTCCTGACCTAGCTTGGATGACACTCAGCGTCCCTTCCACTTCATTCTGTTCATGAGAAGCCAGTCACTGAGCCCAGCCAAGACCCAGGGTAAAGCAGGGAGATGCCCACCTTTGATGGGAGGGCCCAGGGAGCCACAAACATGTGCCTGCTTGGGCCATTTGGTGTGACCCCTCCAGCCTCAGTCCCCTTTGCCAAGACACATTAATGATGGAAAGGGTGACTTAATACATACTGAACAGAGCTATTGAGAGGTTTATCAAGTGTCTTGCACAGAGGAAGGGTGAGAGGTACCCCTAATATTGCTCTGCAAGTGGCAGCAAAGGAGTTTCTGAAAGAACACATTACCTTCTAAGGCTTTAGTCCCCACTAAGACCAGAGATGTAATTTATCCCAATGCTTTTGAGCCTCTCTTTATTCTCAGCCCACCCCTACCCCAGGAAGAACATGTCCTGAGGTTTGATTTATACAAGCCAAGTGAGGGCACACCATACCTTTGAAGCCTGGTCAATGAGTACCCCTGCTGCCCTGTGCCCCATGTTCTTACCTAGAGATGAAACTTGCCTGAGATTAACCAATCACTGTAAGATATTTATCAAATAACATGTGAAGAAAAAGTCTTCTACAACATAGAGTTGTTTAGCTCATTGTAACTCTAGAAGAAATGGGATCCTATTAAGGAGGGAAGTTTGGGGCAAAGTACCAGGAAATCCTTTGACCAGCAGTGTTGCAAGATTGGGGAAGTGTCCCAAAGGAAGTGGGAGACAGCTGCAAGCACAATGCATGCCCAACCCCCAGCTAGAAAACGGGCACGTCCCTTTGTGTCTTTTCCCCACAGTTCCCCTCTGAGCGCAGCCAGCTAGGAGATGCTTATTGTTGCATCCACTAACAAACATCAATACGAGATATTTTAAATGTTCTTGTGTAAAAACAGAATTCCGTTATCAGGAAAAAGTTCCTTCATTTGCTCTAATAAATAGGGCCTTTATCACGGCCCTTCATCTGTTCCTCCTCACCAACGTTGTTCTCACCACTTGAAGACTGGAAGATCATGGACTGGGGAAAGGGCCTTCTATTCTGCTCTCTGGTGTTCTGTTTGTTGGGAACAGAACGTCCAGGGCTATGTCTGTTTGCTTTAACCAGCACGTCTTTTATCACTGCAGACTCACGAAGTGAAGAGTGTCCTCGGAAAGGAGGTGGGGTTGTTAAACTGTTTTGTCCAGTCCATAACCACCTATCCGACTAGCTGCGTTGGATTGGAGGAAATTGAGCTCCTGAGTGCAGGAAGAGCCTCTTCTGAAGGTCGTCAGTTGCCATAAGATCTGTGAACTTGGCACTGTGGCTGCAAGGGTGGTGGTGGTTTTTGGTAGTTAACTATGGGCAGAGTGAATGTATTTTATGATCTTGAAATGGAACTTAGATTTTTGGGGGGCAAATGTTAAGTAAAATGGTTTTGTGAACTATAAATCAACATACTTTTTTCTATGGTTATGTATTTTTTATTACCTTTCTGCAAATTTAAGAACATGTTATTAAAGCTTAAATAAGCTTTGAGGTCTTTACTTTGTATTTACCTTAGGCAATAATATTAATATAGCAGGAAAAAATACTTTGTTCAATGGTAATTTTTAAGTGTTTAAAATTTTACCATGATTCACATGTTTTCCTTGTATTTGTTTTAACATTCCCCCAAAGAATACCCTGCAAAGCTTAAATCTTTGTCCTATATTGTGATATTACTATTCTGCTACAGTAAACGTCCAACCTAAGCATTTTGAAGTTTAATATTTTTGGGAAAATGTTCTGGGAAACCATGTCAGAGGTAAAACTGTTACCCATAAAGTGTAGATAAGTTCAGGGGCGTGATTATAGCGACGCTGCACAGAGACAGCAGCTCACCCTAGACAGGCCCATCTAATCCCGCTGTGTGCTGAGCAGAGAGCCGAGAGTACAGACGCAAGAGGAGTGGGTGGTTATCGTTTGCTTTGTTGGCCGAGATTTAAATTACATCTAAAGCCATGAATTAATTATCTTTAAACACTAAAGATTTTGTTTCCTTTCTACAATATAATCATGACATGCCATAGTTAGTTCATTACATAATATAGACGTAGAAGGGGGAAAGCAAACGGCTTTATTTGTCCAGACTGAGCTTTGAAACATTACCATTACTGGCAAGATGGCCAGTTTCAAGTGGCTTTGTGACTGTCCTTTTCGTCTACTACATGACTGTCTTGTATTTAATTAAACACACTGAAAATTTTGAAGCTGGCCATGAGACCAAGGAAAGCGAAAGCAAAGTCCCAGGAAAGCCAAAGAGGATTCCAACGTGCTTTTGGGATAACCTGACCCCTTCCTCTACCCCTCACCGAAGGTTAGGGAGCTCCTCGCTGTTCTCAGGGCCCCCAGTCAGCTGCAGGGCCAGTGGGCCGGCCAGCCCCTCCCTTAGTCCGGGTATTTTTGGGGGAGCAACCTTCCAACAGAAAGCTGCTAGTTGAACGTGAGCTTGGTCGTGCTTCCCCGATCTTAGCTAAATTAAATAAAGCATTTAGAGGTAGACTTGCGCATGTTTCAAAACCAAAGCAGACCCCTTCTTCTAGGAAGCTTGGTCCCCCTCGGGGGACACACCCCGTGTCCCTTGCTGCGCGCCAGGCCTGGAATGCACCTTCCCGCCGGGTCCTGGGGGCCACCGGCATGCGGGAGTCACTGCGAATACAGGAATCAGGGTTGGTTTTAAATGCTGCTTTATTCTTACAAATACTGTAAAAATTATTATAAAAAAAGGAGCATGCTCCGTCTTTTCCTCTTATCTACAATACAAAGGGTTTGTCTGAAGTCTTTTTTTTTTTCTTTTAACAAATGTACCTTAGCTGCATCAATAAGAGTAAGGTGTAGAAAAAGCTACCATTATAAAAATAATTTAAGGGAAAATAAACACACATAGCTTCTCTCGAAGTTCAGTGGTGGTAAATCCAGGCTGCAGCTTCCTTTCGCTCACACGTCCCAAAGAAACTGCAGCCGGCGCCGGGCGGCACTCGCGGCACCCGGCAGGGCGCGCTCCGCTCCGGCCCGTCGGGTCTGAGGTATCGGTCGTTGGTGAGTCTCTCCCCGCCGGGCCGCGCGTTACCGGCAGTCCGCGGCCCCCGCGGCCGGAAGGAAGGGCGGGCTGGGCAGCTGTTTGAAGAACTGCCGGAGGCCGGCCAGGTCCCGCGTGAGCTGCTCCACGCGCTGGTGCAGCTTCTCGTTCTCGGCCGACAGCTCCACCAGCTTCTGCTGCATCTCCTGGTTGCGCCGCTTGGCCTTGTCGCGGCTCTTGCGCACGGCGATGTTGTTGCGCTCGCGCCGCTG